ACAAGTGCTAAATAAAAATTTACTGAATGAATTGAGTTAATCCATAGTTAATTTAATATCCAAGTTAAGTATTATCATTTTATAAATGAGTATTCTATGTAACATGATGTGACGTGCCACCATTAAGTGGGAAAATCAGTATTTAAGCACAGTTCTAATTGGGAAGACTCCTGTGCATTTCCTCATATATTCATGTGGCAAAACCGGGAGTTAATATTTGTAAACCTACCATGCATGGACAAATATATTTTTTTCCACTTTCCTTTTTCCTTATCCATGGTCTATAGTTTCCTGGGCCTTAGAATCAAAGGCACAGGACACCAATATGTTAATACCATTCTCTATCTCTGTTTTTAACCTTACTTATGCTACATTCTGCATTTATATGTTACCCTATGGACTTAATAGTTGAATGGTAATTGATGCAACTAAACTAATTTGAATCTTTAACACAATTTTTCTTAGTTGTAGGAGAAGGACCAGAGAATCAGCACATCTTTAACAGAGATTTGTAGAAGATCAAATCAATTTGACATGCTCATTCAGGTACGGAGAAGACATGAGCGCAATATAATTCATATTTATTTTAGTGAATCAAGATAGATTTTATTACGTAAAACTTACTTAAATAAATGTGTACAGAGAAAAAGACGGAGATACATGTTCAAGAGAAAACATGGGCTTCTTCAGAGTGAAAAAAGCAGAGAGACACAGCGACAAGCAAGGGAGATCAATGTTTTCAAAGGAGAACATAGGCTTGAAGAGCAAGTCTGTATTTTTTTAATGCAGAGAAGTGAAAAAGTGTATTTTTTATAGAGAAGTAAAAAAGTGAAGGAAAAATAGATACCGAAAATATTCTATGAGCCTTTGCCTCAAGCAAGCTTCACTTTTCCTTATTTGCATATGGTATACAGTGAAATAGGATTAGCAGATATAATAGCAGAAATAATCTGAATAGGATTAGCAGAACACTAGATGAAGGACAACCATGTGAACAAGCTGGATTCCGAAAAGGATTCAGTACCATCGACCATATCCACACAATAACCAAGCTCATTGAGGTATCTCGGGAGTTCAAGATGCCGCTCTGTCTAACGTTCATTGATTTAAAGAAGGCCTTTGATTCTGTTGAGACGGAAGCGGTCATGGAAGCCCTAGCCAATCAGGGCGTACAAACTCAATACATCAGGATCCTTCGTGAGCTCTATTGCGGATTCACTACCAAGATCTCACCATTCTACAAAGAAGTTATCATCCATATCAAGAGAGGGGTTCAGCAGGGTGATACCATTTCACCAAAACTCTTCAGTGCCACCCTCGAGAACATCATGCGACGACTGGAATGGGAAAGCATGGGAGTGAAGATAGATGGTCGGCAACTACACCACCTCCGCTTTGCTGATGACATCGTTCTAATAACACCGAACATTAGCCAAGCAGCACAAATGCTGAACGACTTTGACCGTGAATGTGGAAAGGTCGGACTACAGCTGAATCTTACAAAGACAATGTTTATGAGAAACAGCCTTGTTCCTGACGCTCCATTCACTCTCAACGGAACCACCATCTCCGAATGCAACAGTTATATATACCTAGGTCGAGAAATCAACATGATGAATGACCTGGCACCTGAGTTGCGCAGGAGGAAGAGAGCGGCTTGGAATGCCTTCAAGAACCTTGAAGAAATAACTAAAAGGACAAAGAACCTCCAGCTACGAGCACATCTCTTTGATTCCACTATTCTTCCTGCATTAATATATGCCTCAGAGACCTGGATCCTACGAAAACAGGATGAGAACGCTATTCGGGTCTCTCAAAGAGGAATCGAAAGAACTATGCTTGGAATATCACGATTCACTCAAATGAGAGATAGAATCCGGAGTTCTGATCTTCGTCAACGCTCAAGAATCAGGGACGCTGTCTCATTTGCCAAGACATCAAAAATCAGATGGGCTGGACACGTAATGAGGTTTACAGACAACCGCTGGACTAGAGCCATTACTAACTGGATTCCACGGGACATCAAAAGATCACGTGACGCCCACCTATAAGATGGTCAGACTTCTTCGTCAAGACCCTAAATGATCGGTTTGAGGCTCTGCATGTTCCTAGAATGAACAGATACCATTGGGCTATGCTAGCACGCAACTGGGATGAATGGAGACGTTACTGGCACCCGCTCGAATAAATCGATGAATAACGGGGATTAAGTGATTAAGTGATTAAGTGATACAGTGAAAACAGCAAACAGATGAACTAAACAAAACAAAAATAAACTTTTAGAATACAATTCCAATTAGTGGTGGCAAGAAAGAGAGAAGAGAGGGAAGGAAAGGAGACAAAGGGTGCAAATGCTTGGCGAAGGACGGAACTGGGGAACTCAGCGTAGACCTGACAGAGGTCGAGTGTCTTTTAAGATACACACTGGTACCTTCTATCATGTTAGACTACAAAGCTACCTCATAAAAAATCAAAATCAAAAAAAGATAAATGTAAACAAATGACCCATTGGCATTCTCCCTGTAGGAGGATGAGCTTAGCTCTTGCATTCCTCATGGATAGCAACTAACTGCATCCTGGGGCACCGCTGTAAGTTTTCAGAAACCAGCTCCCATAGCTGACCATACACATCTGTTTCCCTTCACAAGTCAATAATCTATGGCAGCTGTTTTCCAAAAATAGACAATGGGGAGGCCAGAGTAGCTCTGCATGCAGACTCAATGGACTGCATTTCCACATTTTCACAGCTTGCTTGAGGTTTCACCATTATCATGATATATCAGAGAGTGCAAAGGCACCAACTACCATTTTTCTCAACTATTCCCCCTCGGCTGCTCAGAACCTGCAAAACTGTTAAAAGTCTGCGCATATTTGGACAACATGCCGCTTACTAAAAAGCCATTAAAGGACAAGACAAATAGCATCCACTCCACGTGTCTGCCTTGAAAGCTTAATGTTTATTATAATGTGACATCACAATGATTAATGGGATGCCACAGTGCAAAGAAACTCAAGGCTTTATAACCAATGAAAGATTATTAAACAGTAAAAAATAAATTAGAAAAATAAATGAAAATGCTATAATAAAGCAAACTTTTCAGCTTTTTGCTGCCAGATCTTGCCATAAAAATATATCCAAAACCTTTAACTCAACATAGATCTTTGGAACAAAGAGAAATAAAATACTCCATAAAACTAGGCTGGATTTTTACCCATAGTCAACCAGAGCAAGAAATGTACTCTCAAAAATGTCTGGTTTTTGATATCTAAGTACAAATTCAGAATTTGTATAGAATTGTATGTGGTCAACTCAGGTTTGATTCCCAGCATGCCATTTGGTCCTGAGACCACCAGGAGTGATTCCTGAGTGCAGAGCCCAGAGTAACCACTAAGCATCACCAGGTATGGTGCCAAAACAAAACAAAACAAAACAAAATATATAGATATACAATCTTAATTATTCCAGTATTTTGTTGTTGGTGGTGATGCTGATATTGTTTTTTTGTTTGTCTGTTTGTTTGTTCTGGGGCCACACCCAGTTGAGCTCAGGGCTTACTTCTGGCCCAGAGCTCAGGAGTTACTCCTGGAAGCGCTCAGGACCATAGGTCATGCCAAGATTAAACCTTTACATTTTGAGTGTAACTTTACTGTCTTTATCAAATTTATTGACCAACAAACTTGGTTACATACTGTAACCACCAGGGTTAAATGCATTTTATTTCTTTTTTGTGTTTGGGGGGGTCGGGGGGTCAGAAGGGCAATGCTTGGCAGTACTCAGAGCTAAGTCCTGAATCTGTGCTCAGGATCACTCCAGATGGGACTTGGGGAGCAAGGCAAGTGCCCTACCCACTGTACTAGTGCTCTGGCCAGGGTTAATTTTAAAATACCAGGGTTAATTTTAAAATGCCCAAATGCCCAGGCTACATTCCAGATTATATTAATTAGGAAGCTCTGCAGGTATCAATACCTGCAGGCCCAAGTATCAATAGTGTTTCAAACCTTCAGATAACTTCAACATGCAACTAAAATATACAAAGGATTTAATAATTAAAGGCTGAACAATGCATACTTTGGAAGGTATGAATCAAAAGAGCTAAACTAACACTTAGCCTAAAATTGTATCAAACATGTGATCTAGCTTCCTTAAAAAGAATTATCAGAGAAAAATGTGAGAGCTACCAAAAATAAATTAAATCCCTCTTATGGATCACAGAACAGAGTCCTCATTTACTGAACCATTTTTTTAAGCTGGTAGTACAGAAAAAATAAATCTATAAAAAACTATGTAAGAATAACTTGAATTACTCAGTCAAAATGAGCTCATAATCACAGACATTGTTGTACCCACCTACATATCAGAAAGCAAAGATTTATGCTTGGGTCTGACTATTTTCGCAATATTAAATTAAATTATACTTTGCAGTTGGAAAATAAGAACCAGAACGGAGCCAAAGAGCTAGCTCAAGGGGTTAAGTGCAGGAGGCCCAGACCCCACTGCTTGCAACTGTATGGTCCACCAAGAGCACAAACACACACACACACACACACACACACACACACGAATATATATATATATGTAATATAAACTTGCATACTTCACAAAGATGTTTAAACTCTGTGGGTTCTGTATTCCATAACAGAAGACACATGGTTGATTATTTATGGGGCGATGTGAATAAGAAAATAAAGTAGCAAAATAAATGAATATGTTTGTTTTTCTTTCCAGCTATAAAACTTAGCTCTGCAAGGTATGGGAGGTGACTGAGTGGGAGAGAACTCGTCCTGCATGTGGGAGGCCTGGGGTTGATTCCCAGCACCAACAAACAAAAAACGACAACAAAACTCGGTTATGATATAAATATTTGTAACTTTAAGTTCCATCAAAATTACTTGTAATTTTTACTTTTATTATAATTTACTTGTATCAGAAAATAAGCTTTTTTCTTCATTTCATAAACATAATCTGACCCACACATAATTCAGAAGATAATGTTACTTACAGGGATCATCCAGTTAGCCAAGTCACCGTATTTGGAAACCTGCATTGCCCCCAGCATTGTTAGATCAACATGTCCGCTGGGGGGGAAAAAGAAGAAGAAAATATATATATACACATATATATACATATATATACACACACACACACATATATCATATTATAGCATGTTCCCAAGCTTTGTATTCTGTTTTCTTGAAATTGCCAGCAATTAAGATAAACAAACCATTCTACATGCCCAAAATGCATTTGCTTCCACACCTGATTGGCAAGTAGCTCAATCTGATATTGAGAAACAGCCATTAAGAAATTGTAGCCCTATACCGTCTCCAAAACCAAATTAAACACAGGTGTACATGGTGAGATTGCTTGTTTCTTTGAGGGGAAAATATGGCTCAATTTGAAGATAAATACTAGCAAGAAAATGAGTACATGGTTTGTAGAAAATGATAGGATACTCAGAACTTTTAAATGTTTACGTCAGTATAGTTAGTATACAGATCTGTATCAAATATTCCATTTGTGGAGAGAGGGATTTCTCTTGATAAAAGCCATGGGATTTTTCTATGCCCAGATTTCAGTGCAATTGAAAAAATAATTTCACATCTTGGTGGAGCCGAATAAGGCCCTGATAGGTTTCTGGCTGGGAGACAAGGCTATATTTCAGGGCCTTGCTAACTCACTCAAGGGATGACTCAGCTTTCCATACCATGTGCAACATGAGGCACTTCGTTATTACATACCCTCTAATCATCGCAAATGATTCATCACTGGAGAAATAAGAGGCTCCTGGAAGAACAGTAACTGTTTCCTTGCCTAAACATGCACAGAGGGGAAAAAAGGGTGAAGGTGATTAGGCTTCTAAGATTATCATGATAGAGAGAGGTCTGCACCTTCTGTTTCCTAAAGAACTCAAGTTCCCTTTACCAAATGTGGTGCCATAAGGATTCATGGTACACTGTAAAGAGCAGCATTTATTTTATCACTGGTCCTGCTCAGATTTACTCTTGCGTAGTGATCATAAAAACCAAACCAGATCATCCCAGAGACTCAGAAACAAACCTCAGAACCCAGCGGCTCTTGACAAAAATGCATCTGGACTCCGCATTAGGTTACCAGCCCTGGGCGACCCCATCACCACCTGTTACCCCTGGAGGCTCGGGGTCCACCATCTTCCAGAGGCCAATGGACAGCCAGGTAAGGGCCCACAGTGACGAGACACACGGGGCCTCATGGGACGGGGACGGGGTCGGCCCTTTCTCCCCCGCCCCAATGAGACCCCGAGTCGCCGCCCATGAACAGACCCTCTGGCTACTCAATAAGCTGCTTCAGCCATGATCCGAGTGACTCAGAAACAAATCTCAGAACCCAGCGGCTTTTGGCAGAAATCCCTGCAGATTTAATTAAGATGTCAGAATATGCTATTCATTATCAGGAATAGAAAAAACAAATTATCTAATGTTGCCTTTTTGACAGATCTGAGTGTTGGGGTAAAATCCCAAATAATAATGTTGGGTCTGGTGTCGAAGTATTGAATGCAATCAAAGTAGAGAGAGAGTAATGTGGAAACCATCTGCCACACAGGTATGGGGAGGGTGTGGGCTGGAGGGTATACTGGGGTGGAAAATGTGCACTGGTGAAGGGACAGGTGTTTCATCATTATATGACTGAGACTTAAACCTGAAAGCTTTGTAACTGCTCTCATGGTGACTCAATAAATAAACTTATATAAAAAACTTTTATTTTTATTAATAATAAAATTATTATATTTTATTAATGCTTTGAAATTCTCTACAAACAATTCCTATACCCAACCCCACCTCCCATCACCCTATTCCCTTAATAAATCTCTGCTAAATGCCAATGAAGTGAGGGGTCCTGGAATTCATTTGTCCGTATCTACTGGCAAGTTACCAGTGCCCCCCCCCCAAAAAAATAGTGGGATAATATTGAAGTAACATGAATTTGAAGAAAATGACACAAGAGATGATCTTCAAGCATTTCTTAAAAATTAAATCCAGAGGCTTGAGCAATAGCACAGCAGGTAGGGTGTTTGCCTTGTATGTGGCCAACCCGGGTTTGATTTACAGCATCCCATATGGTCCCTTGAGCACTGCCAGGGGTAATTCCTGAATGTGGAACCAAGAGTAACCCCTGTGCATTGCCAGGTTTTCTATAAAGAGAAAGCACTGTAACACTGTTGTCCTGTTGTTCATCGATGTGCTCGAGTGGGCACCAGTAACGTCTCCATTTTGAGACTTGTTAATGTTTTTGGCATATCGAATACACCACAGGGAGCTTGCCAGGCTCTGCCATGAGGGTGGGATACTTTGGGTAGCTTGCCAGGCTCTCCGAGAGGGATGGAGGAATCAAACCCAGGTCGGCCATGTGCAAGGCAAATGCCCAACCCACCTACTCCAGTCCATAAAGAGAAAAACACACCTAAATTCTTAACATCACTGCAAGATCTGAATCTCTTCCCTCAATCTTTTCCTCTTCTTCCTTCTCCTCTCCTCCATTTTTCCTCTCTTGTTTCTATTAAGGTCATAGTATTTTCACAAAAATCAGGGACCAATATTCTAATGCTAGCCAACACATTCCAAGAGTTCCCCTGGAAAGACCTCTCTCAAAAGCAGCATCTTAGAAAAAAGTTCATAGCTGGAAAATGGATAATCTTCAAGGCCATCCGCTCCTAGTGCAGCCAATGATATGACCTGACTCACAGATGAACTTTCTTTTTGTGATGAATTTCCTGTCTAATCGAGAAGCGCCATGTCTCAATCCCAATGGTCCACACAGGCCACTTTGTCAAAGATAAATCAAGTAGCTAACTGAGAAGTCACCGTGTGTTACCCTAGTATAATGGGGCATACTATTCAGAGGGAAACAAAAGTCTAGATCCCAAATTTAGAGAAAGGTCCACACACAACCACAGCAGTGTGGTCTGACATGCCCAGCTGTGCAATACAGCTACCTCCTGGAAGTCTCAGTCTGGTCTGAAATCTAACTTCATCAATATTCCACTCCATCTGAGCTCAAATAGAGAAAAAGAATGAAACTATTTATACCATGCTGAAATATTTATTCCCCAAAGGATTTGATTCTAAATAAAGGAACAGTTTCACATTTTTCATAAGCTGGAAAGCTTTGGAAAATACTTGCTGGTGTGTTTAGAGGGGCTTTTAAAGAGCACACAGAGGATGGAGAGAGAGTAGTATAGCCAGTAGAAAGCTTGCCTTGCACATCGCCAACCCAGATTCGAACCCTAAAATCCCATATGGTCCCCTGAGCACAGCCAGGAGTGATTCCTGAGTGCAGAGCCAGGTGTGTCCCAAAAACAAACAAACAAAATCTCCCTAAGAACAAAGCTCCTGGATGAGAGGAATTCATTAGTGACTTCTTCCATACATTCTAAGATGGTCTTTTACCCCATCCTTCTCAAGTTCTTCCAGAAAGAACTCAAGAACATACCAATATGAATGTCAAAATGTTTAGAAATAATAAATGCTGGTGGATATGTGAACTCATTAATTTTTGGTGGGACTGCCATTTAGTTAAGTCTTCTTAGAAAACAGTTTGATACTTCTCAAAAAATTAAGAGTGGCACTTACATATAAATTTACAATTTCATTCCTGGACATCTATCACAAGAACAATACAACTTTTGTCTGAAAGGATGAAGGGGGTGGGGGGCAGAGGAGGAAGGAGGTATACTGGCATACTGGGGACAATAGTGGTGGAAAATGTATACTGGTGGCGATCATTATATGACTGAAACTCAAACATGAAAGCTTCGTAACTGTATCTCATGACGATTCAATAAAAAAATAAATTTAAAACAAAGGAGGAAGGCACACCCATTTTCATCTCTGCATTATTTATAAGAGCCAAGATATGAAAACCACCCAAGTACAACAACTGATATGGGTCTAAAAATGTAGTTATTGAACGAGAGAGAGAGAGAGAGAGAGAGAGAGAGAGAGAGAGAGAGAGAGAGAGAGTAAAGAGCTTAAAACATTTGTCTTGCATGTGACTGAACCTGGTTCCATCCCCTATACCATACAATCTCCCAAGCATACCAGGAATGTCCTCCTAGCAGAGAGCCAGGGGGAAGTCCTAGGCACCATCAAGTTCTGGGGAGGAATCCTTGTGGTTAGATAAATACCTAATGATCTTGCTCATATGCAAAGAATAAAAAAACACAGCAAAGTGCTTGGGAATAGCCAACAACAACCTGAGATATGGTTGATAAAACTGGATTGCAAGAGTGCTGGGGGAGGTGGGGAGTGTAAAGAATCTTGGAATAACGCTGGAAAGATCCTGCGTTTGTGCCGGGCCTGGTGAAGCAGTACCGCAACTGCAAGCACAAAACAATGATTCTGGGAACTACTGTAAAAAATAACAATAATGGGGGCTGGAGTGATAGCACAGCAGGTAGAGCATTTGCCTTGCACGCAGCCAACCCAGGTTCAATTCCCAGCATCCCCTATGGTCCCCTGAGCACCGCCAGGGGTAATTCCTGAGTGCAGAGCCAGGAGTAACCCCTCTGCATCGCTGCGTGTGACCCCAAAAAAGAAAAATTAAGAATTTTAAAATAACAATAATAAAATAATGCCACGAAATGAACATGGCTCTTTCTAAAGTTATTTCAAAGGTATGTCATCTAAAACATTGTTTACTATAAGAAGAAAACAATATTATGAAAATAAGAATGTAAATTGTCAGTAACATGCCAGCTAAAGCATGAGACATCTTAGAAATTTCATAATCGCCCTGGGATACTGTTAGTCTGAATGCAGACCTTCATGAGACCTGTGAAATGTTAACATACACTGATTTAAACACCCCGTAACTCAGGTTATCAATGGCTGCAGCTCAAGGACAACGCCAGGGGCCAAGAGCTAGAAACTGAGTATGAGCTCAGTCCCTACCTAGCCTTCACTTCACTAGTAGTTAGTTTCCAAATTTGTAACAACTTTCCTTCACTTGAGGCTGAAATGATGTATAATACCTATTAGATGTATATTGCAAACTAAATAGCACATAGTGCTACATAAGTGGTAATTTACTTTATGTAGCGATTTGAAATTATTATTTAGAAAGAAATATCCTTAGAAACAATCCTGTTATTTTAAACTTTAATGTTCTAATTATATCCAGAAATTTAATTTACAGATTATTTATTTTAGAGAAACCTAATTATATCCAGAAATTTTAATACTTTAATTATATCCACTGTAACTTTATATAGTAATTCCAAGAGTTTTTTATAAAAATCCTTTCAATCAAGTTTTATTTTAATGACTATATCAAACTGTGTACTCTGTGGTACAAAATCAACGTTCTACATAGAATGAGAAAATAAGACATTAAGTTGCCTTTTATTTTTTAATATATCCTTTCAAACGACCACAAACAATGGGCTGGTCTTCCATGTTATTTCCAAATTTGGAGAGTGAAGGGAACCTACCATTGTAACTAGTTTCTCTAATGCTTCCTCAATAGACAGCTCCAAAATCAAAAGCATCACAAATCCCTGGGAGGATTTGATGAAAGAGATTACTAAACTGATTTGCAGCTTGATCCACCAAAGCAAAGAATTCTTTCATTACACCGTAGCTTAAGTTCACACTGGCATTCCAGAAGTTCAGACACAAAACTGGTAATTCCATTAGGACCAAGACTCAGCGGAATCAGAAACGCCTGCTAACTGTCCTAACTGTCGCTGAAAAGATCAACTACATTTCTGGGGAAAGTAGGTTTATGAACCCAAGCCTGAATTCTGGAAAATGAAGTTACTCATTTTGCAAATAACTGACTAACATCATAAATTAATTAAACCAAGCAGCAAATATTTTCACAGATCAATGAGCTATTATTGCTAGAGGGTACAGTTCAATTAAATTACAGCCTTGGTTAAATGTCATTGCTTTATCACAGTGGGCCTTTTAGAGTTGAGTCCTGTTCACTAATTCAACTATTCAACCAGAAACTATTTTACTTCCAAAAATCCTAAGTACCAAACATCAATTCCACTTGGCAGCTGGCCTTTATGTTCAGCTCAAATTGCTTCTCTTCTGAGATTTACACATCCAATTTTGGAATGTAAAGTAAGAATACTTTTGCGGGGGTAGAGTGAATAGGAGTAAAAGAAGGGTGAAGAAAAATCATGCAAAAACAAGAAGTAACTTCTTCTGGGTAGCCCCATTCGCAGAAAGTCTTCAAGCCCAACATGGTGACTATGTGACTTAAAATATAGGCGATGATGAAGGTCCAAGAGTCTGACCTGGGGGGCTGGAGCAATAGCACAGCAGGTAGGGCATTTGCCTTCCACTCGGCCAACCCGGGTTCAATACCCAGCATCCCATATCCCCCAAGCACTTCCAGGAGTAATTCCTGAGTGCATGAGCCAGGAGTGACCCCTGTGCATCACTGGGTGGACCCAAAAATCAAAAGAAAAAAAAGTCTGATCTGTTTTTCTTCCTCTAGGCTATGATTCCACATGCCAGCTGAATAAAATGCTAACAATAAAAGGCCAAGCTGCTGGGGTAGGAATAGAGACAAAACACACTGAGCTACACCGAGCTTCTGTGGTATCCCTGAGTTGTACTCAGCAGCAGAGCATCCTTGGATTTTGTACCTTAGTGCCTTTGTACTTTTGAGGATGTGCTTCCACTCTAGTGAAGACTAGAAGAGAGAAAATAACTTCTACACAAAAGTCCTAAAGTGCTCAAGAAGTTTTTTTCTGGGGTGTGTGGGGGGGGGGGTGGAGGGGAGAGGATCACACTGAGGATGCTCAGGGTTACTCTTGGCTCTGCACACAGGAATTACTCCTGGCAGTACTTGGGAGACGGACCATATGGGATGCAGGGGATTGAACCATGGTTGGCCATATGCAAGGCAAATGCCCTTCCCGCAGTACTATCACTCCAGCCCTAGCTTCTTCAGCCCTCCGAAGCCATTCCCTCCTTTCAATCCTAGAAGATGGATGTAATTCCAATCTGGGGATGTGCTAGCAGGGGGTGCCAGCTCAAGACCCAGCATCAGAGGCCCATCTTGCTCCCTCCGGAGACTCTGCAAGATGGAGACGCTACTCTACCAGGTTTCTCTTAATAGTTCCTATCCTCCATAAGGTCTATAGGTGATAGCAACTTCATGTGGGGCTTCATCCATCCTCGACTTTCATCCTGTCTGATCCCTTGTATATTGTTCCTCCTAGAATTTGCTTTATTCTATGTGCGAGGGAGTGGTACTTAAGAGTCAGAACCCTGAGTAAGCCCCACCAAAGTCCTTGCCGTTATATGCAGGCCATTTGTAAAAGGATTCTGACAACCAACCAGGTAAAGAAGGAATTAGGTGGGCTTATATCTGCTCCCCAATAAAAGAATAGAGTACATTCCAGGAAATGGAAAAAGGGGGCCAGAAAAGTAGTATAGTGGTTAAGGTGCTTGTTTTGCATGCTGCTGACCCAAACTGCATATGATCCCCTGCTACAGAGCCAAGAGTAAACCCTGAGCACCATCATCCAAAGGACAATGACAGAAGCCTAATCCTTACAATTGGAGGCAGGGGTGCGGTGGGGGGAGAAAGCAAATAAACACTTGGGGTGGGGATGGGGGGAGAAATGTGGCGGGTGACTTTACCTGCATTAATTAGATCAGCATCAACCTCATTTTGCAAAGGATAGGGGCCCTGTCAAATAAAACACATATTTGATTAGCAAAACATTTTATTTGACTGAATCACACGCAAGATAAACAGCTTCTCTAAAAACCAAGGAAGTTACTATCGAAAGACTATTTTTTAAGTGGGGATGGGGGACAGGGTTAGGTCAGTCCATGAGTGCTCAGGACTTACTCCCGCCTTTGTGTTCAGGGATCACTCCTGGCAGTGCTCAGGAGATGAAACCTGGGTTAGCCATATTCAAGGCAAGCAACTTAATCCCTTTCCCAGTTCTCTGGCCCATTCTGGTTCATTTTTTCTATACCAATAATTGTAATTGCATAAGTGGAAAGTAAAAATTACAAAAGTTCCTCCAAAAGTTATGGAATTAGAAATAAGAGTTCAAAAAACTAAAAGGTAATGTTTAGTGTCCATAATGAGGCCAATATTATTGATCAATCTTCCTGATGATTTAAATAAAAGTAAACTAAATGGCCATGGAATGAATTGGACAGGCAAAATTTTACCTTTCTGAAATTCTTGGGCCAAAAAAATAAGTATGGATAGTTCTTACCTTTTCTCTCATTACATTGGACTGATAGCTTTTAATCAGTTATATTGGACTAACCCCTTTCTTTTCCTCTGACTACTCATTCTCAGTAAGTATTTAAATATATATATATATATATGTGTATATATATATATATATATATATATATATATATGTATTACAAAGCATCTCTACTAGGATGGGACAAGCAGTTGCAAGACCTATTTAGCACAAATGGAGGATATAAAAAAAAAGAAAAGAAAAATTAAGACATGCTACAGAATGTAAAATGAGGAAATGATGGTTGTGAAAGTTAAACATACTTTCTACATAAGAGCCAATACTTCCAATAAACGGAAAAGCTTATTAAAAATATAGAAGTGGCCCACCCCACCCCACCCCACCAAGCAAGCAAGCAAGCAAAAAATCAATAAATCGATCCATAAATCAAAAAAAATATATAGAAGTTGCATTACAGTTTTAGACCTATGCAAATTTTCCTTTAAACAGAGACCATAGGCAATTCACATCAAACTATTTCCTTTGGGGAGGGAAATGGTGAAGTAGTGTAGTAGTGGAACACTGTATGCACAAAACTCTGTCATTAGAAGTAGTATAAATGCTGATGCCTAAAAAATAAGGGTGGGAGCCCACAGAGAAAGTACAGCAAGTCAGGCAACTGTCTTCAACACAGTGAACCCAGGTTCGATCCCTGGCACCACATATGACCCCCTGAACATGACCAGGAGTGATCCCTGAGCACAGAACCCGGAGAAAGCCCTGAACACAGCTGGGTGTGGCCCCCAAATCAATAAATACATAATAATAAAATAAATTTCCCATGTCTTCAAAATTAGGGATTTGGTCACTCTGGATAATTTCCAAGGTGGGTGTTGGAACACTGTGTGATGAAACCCAATCATGAACAACTTTGTACCTGCATATCTCACCGTGATTCAGTTTAAAAAAATAAATATATATATATATGTATGTATATTCCAAGGTACTTTTAAAGTGCTGTCTTCGATTGGCCAGAGCTAGCTTAACCATGTGCAGCCAGGGCTCAGTCCTGAGCACTGCCTGGTCCCCAGGCTGCAGCGAAAATCACCTGAGCACCACCTGGTGCAGCCCCCAAAGAGAATATGAATAAAAAGCTAAGTTCAATTTTCTTTTACCCAGACACACATGATTTTGAAAAAGGTCATGATTCATTCATCAGGATGGCCTACACACCCATGATCATTATTAGTATTTTAAATACTGGACATACATTTTCTATAGTGCACAATTTTTACTATATTAACAGTTAAGATCTACCAAGAAACAATAAAGATTAAAAATATAAGTTTAAAAACCAGAAATTCTCTCGGCTACAGTTAATTTAGATATAGCATCCAAGAAGCAAAAGTATTTCTAGATTATATTACTCTTAATTAAAAGTACATATTTTTTTTTGCTTTTTGGGTCACATCCAGCGATGCATAGGGGGTTACTCCTGGCTCATGCACTCAGAAATAACTCCTGGAGGTGCTCGGGGGACCATATGGGATGCTGGGAATCGAACCCGGGTTGGCCGTGTGCAAGGCAAACACCCTACCTGCTGTGCTATCGCTCCAGCCCCTAAAAGTACATATTATAGGCTAAATAACTCATCCAGAAGGTAAATATCGAGGATGGAAAATTCTGCTTCTGAAATACAACCTCAAAGTAATAATTAAATGAGAATTTCAAAGCAGTCTGGAAAAATTCAACTCTCAACTAAGTTCCTGCACTAAAATAGCACTCTTCTTACTCTTCAGTTTCTGAGTCAGCCTTATTGATTTTTATTTAACATAGAACTATCAGTGACTATCATGACCGTGTCCAAGCTTATAAATATTACACCTTACCAAGCTTTGTAACCTCTTAAATTGTGAACCTACTCTACAAAATTGGCACAAATGAAGAGAATGAGGCTAGAAAACTGGAGAAGTTACAGAAAGCTCAAAGTAAGAAAACTCTCATCTATCATATATTATACAAACCTATCTGCTCATAATAACCAGTTTTATGGAGGAAGATATGATAGCAATGAAAAGAAAGGGGAGGGGGGGAGTTGGAAACTTAAAGTTAACAACTCTTTTACAAGAAGATTTCACCATATGAAATGTACCATTCTCGAACTTGCTAAGTTAAGTTCCTATGCTAAGTTCTTACACTAAATTCCTTCTCCGCTAGAAAGAGTTTCTCTTTCTCTTTCTTCTGCGTTCCAATAAGCCTTTCTATTGGCAACTCCAGGTGGAGGGAGGGAGGGAGGGAGGGAGATAACTGTCCCATTCTCTTACAAGACTGGATAAATCAAATTTTGATCTTACCAAACCCAAGACTCCATTTTCACTTTGCAGATGAACAGTCATATTTGGACTGATAAAGTTGCTAGCCAGAAGTGGAATTCCAATGCCCAGATTAGCTAGGGAAAAAAGTCGTTAAGGTCCAGCATACAAAGCTTAGAGAAATTATGCCATAAGCTTTTTACATATATATATATTTTAAAAAATCAACAGAAGCCTACTTTAAAGGTACTTGATCTAAACGCAATCACTGAATACATATCCATCCAATCACCCTCTGGGCACTAGTTAAAATTTTTTCTAAAAAATGAAAGTCTCTAATGACAGCTTTCTCAATGATTTAAAATGCTTTCCCATCAAGATACCAAAGTGCTGGCTTTAGAAGACTAACCTCAGGGTTATTTCTTCTATAAGATTTATTTCATTTTCATTAATGTGTTTAGAAAAGTTGGAGTATATAATACCACTTAGTAAGACTGGCTATGGGTTGACATTAAATGTCTGTTTTAAAACATTTAGTTCAAAATTTCAACAATAAATCAAAGATAATTTAATATAATAAAAAGGGTGACTTTTTTAAAAAATACTGTACCGTGAGGTACAGTAACAAAAATCTCATGTTTGAACTTTGATCATACAGTCATCAAACACCCATCCCTTCACCAGTGCACGTTTTCCACCACCAAAATCCCCAGATTCCCTCCCCGCCCCATTCCACACCGCCCCCTGCCTATATGGCAGACAATTTGCAAAATATTTTTTCTCTAATTTAGTTACCTTTGATATTTCAAGACCAGTCCTACCACCTCTCATACCTGCTGAAAATGCAATGCTAGACAATGTGTTTTGTATTGCTTGTTATGGATACAATGTTATATTCTATATATATGACATAGAATTATATATGTTAATTATTTTATATATAATGCTATTTATAACATTAAATATATTTAATTATTTATATATAATGTTATTTATTTATATTTATAAAATATATAACTTACTATATATATAAAATCCTTGAGCCGTGCACTCAAGGAATTCTAAGATTTTAATAATTAGGGTTTGCAGAAATCACTACAGCAAGTTGCTGGGGTCCAAGATAGTGTCTCTGGATCGTGACCACATGGGAGCTTAAGTAGACAGTGGGCGGATGTGACATCATCTTGGCATCCCATTGGAGCTGGGGGGGAAGGACGGCCCACTCCTCCTGTGTCCCTCGAAACTTGGGATTTGCCATCACCACGAAGTCGCACCTGGTGCTTCTTCCTGGCTTCTAGAAAATGGCAACTGCTGGGGCTCTTAGAAGGCAGGTGAAGGGACAACACCCGCCCCTGTCTGGAGCAGCCCAGCAGAGAAGGCCTTTTGCAAAGTCGAGGGCCATCTCTGCCACAAGTTGCTCAGGTCCAAGATTCGTCTGTGTGTCCAAGGGTGACTATTTTTTAATTAAAATATTTCCAGACAATACCAAAGGCCCTAAAAGTGGACACATAATTGAGTCTTCTCTAAGATAGAACATGTAGGAGTCGGTGATTAAGAGTCAAGAAGATACATCTGAGAGCATATAAAAGTAATCACATTAAAGCACCAAAGAGTTCACTGATGGTGCTGAATCTTCTTCTTTAGATGATCATAATAGGATCAGTCCTGATTTGTATTTGGTGGCATGGGTTCTTCTCAAAACAAGTAGACTAACATGATCAGAGATCTTGGAACAGTCTCTGCAAAGTACGACTGCCTGTGCTATTACTCACAATCCATGCCACGGAGCTTCCCAGTATCAGTGCAAAGAAAGATGGTGGTCATGCTTCTAGAACCTTCTCTCTTTGATCTTTCTGTGCTGACTGTATTCACCATTCAATCATATTTTTATCAGATAGTATTTTGATTTATGTGTATCATTTGTATTATGTGGTTATTGTTTAACCTACTGACATGGCAACATAAAAGACTTGCTGCTATTTAGATTTTTTTTTAAATTCCAAGTAAACACTGGGCTGAATGATATCTACCTATCTTCTTTTTAAAGTAAAGCATAATTAAATGATTCACTGTACACTCTTACAAAATGTTAGACCCAAATGAGTACACTCAGGATTTTTGAGAGCTCCCCAGCAGAAAAAAGTACTGCTGAGAAATGTGAGCTCATGGCCAGTGTTTAAGGCAAATGTTTTGTATGAGGCTGAATCCCCGACACTACCCTGTCCCTGAGCACCACTGGTTCAGCTCTGGGGGCCCCAGAGCACCACTGGAGTGAGAGGCCAAACCTAACAGCATCTTTGGACCCTTTGAGCCAGCAGGCCCAGAAGCGGCCTTGGGCTTCTTGAGTACCACTTAGGAGGTCACATGAACATAGAAACATATGGTCTTACATGTCAATGAGTGTGCAAGTGTTAGAGTACGGTAAAAGTAAATATCACTGGCCATAACTAGCACTTTGGAAGTTTGTTTTCTGGCAAATCATGTGCTATCCCATTGAGCTACATCCCAGGCCCGACTTTAGAAATCTGAAACTCTCATTGGGGTCATCTCTTTTTCTAGAAACTGTTGACTAAATTCAAAATTGTAGTGAAATTGCTAGTATATTACAAATAAGTAAAAATTTTATCGCCACTTAGTTTCAAGAAAGCAAACAACTGAATTTTACATATCTTGATATCTTTACATTATAAGCCACATTTTGTAAAAGAGAAGAATTTATAAGCTGTGCTAAATGTTACAAAGTACTAGAGAAGCATCCTATGCAGGTGGCCAAATAATATGGGAGAAAGTGAGAAAAATATTTGTGCCCATCCCCAAAAGATAAAGGATACCATACATGCCATCCTCAAATTCAAGAGCTGCGCGTTTGATGATCCGCTCCCTTACATTTTCTCCAGATGTACCAGATTTGCCTTTCACATTTTCCTCTTTCCGGACTGATAAACGCTTTAAATAGAAATAACAATTGATGATTGTGATATACTTCGTATTTTGCCACTGATGAAACAGATATTTTTAGTTGGAAAAGAAAAAAAAAAAACACCAAAAACATGTGCTATGTTACTCCTATGAGACAAATCTACAGTTATACCAGAGAAATTTTTTTTTAAAGAATAACATCAGTGACAACGATATTTGAAGACAGGAATCATTCTTTAGAAAGCAAGTAAAAGAGGTCATAATTGTTTGAAAAGGAAGATATACTTGTAATGTCTCTTTGAAGCAAATAATCACATTTTTACTGTCACACTGAACGCATGACAGCTGTCCTTCGGATGCCTGCAAACAAATTCTTGTCAGGTGCCTAGGGATGAAACCAGAACAAAGGCAAAGGAATAGACCTTGAGAATCTGTTTTTGCAGGGCTGTCAGAATTTGTTTACCAGGTACTGCTGCCAACTGCCTATTTCCACCTGCAGAGTCTAGACTGGTTTTGCGACAAGTGCAGCAACAGGGAGTCACAGAAATATCCAGAAACCAGCCAGGAAATCATTTCCATTACTAAATCTCCCTGACAGACTGGTTCTGTCTGCAAATGTCCTTTCTTTCCCTAGCCCTAACATTAGATTTAGATGGCAGAGAAGCTTTCTGTCTGATGTCCACAGTGTAGAGGGTGTTTCTGATACCTAAATATTGCCCACTGCTTGTCTACTCTGCAGATAACTCCTAGATATTTCACAATCTTGTTACCAACTCTGCTCATTCTCCAAGGTTCTCACAGGAACATTATCATACCTGTTCCAGTACCCAACCCTGGCCACAATCTCACATCCAACAACTTCCCAAAATGAACAGAAATTATGTCCTTCCTACCTCTATAAAATGCAAGATAAATATTTCTGAATAAACAAACATTATGATCTCAGCAGGGATAAAACCATCAAAGATCCGTTATTCTCCTCCTCCCTGTAGCACAGCCTGTCAAAACCATGTCTCATAAATTAGGAAAATTATATTATAAATACAATCCTGGAAGGCACAGCCAGAGAATCACATAGCCTGATGTACCCAACACATTCTTATGCCGCTGGTCAATAATGCAAACGATCACATCTCCATGACAAACACACGAAAAGCACCTCTGCTGAGATTCAATGTCAGATCCAATGTAAGACTTCCCACTCAGCTCTAATTTCCTTCTTCTAGAAGGGAGCAAGGGAACCAGAAGTCTGTAATTTGTTTAGTAATACATATATGACTCAAATGACGAGTGACCACAAAGAGCAAAGTCAATCACCTCAATTCTTTTCTCATATTTCTCTCCCTTTATAAGGCGATGGACATAAATCTTGGGGATGTGGATGTCTTCTGGAGCAAATGATCCAACATCCACAATTTCTTCAACCTAGGAAGAGAACAAATTATTTTTTAAAGTTAGTGAGAGTTCAAACTGAGTTTTTGGTTTTGATTTTTCTGTACCACACCTGGAGGTGCTCAGGGGGCCATACGGGGTGCTGAGAATTGAACCCAGGTTGTTGGGGTATAAGGCAAGCGCACTTTACCCACTGTCCTATCTCTGACCCTCAAATTGGTTTTTAAATGAAGTTTTATCTTTAGCTTCAATTTAGACTGATGATTCAATATACAAAAGTACACGTGAATATAGGTAAAAGAGTAACTATGTATCGTATACATATGAATGCATCACATATATTTTTAAGCCATAAAAATGGGAGATTTGAATGACACACGCATAACTGCACATAAAAGCTTCAGAATTTAATCTGTGCCTAAAACAGGCTCAGTTACAAACTTCTCAAATGGTTTGTCAGAACAGCTGCTTGAACTTTCACGAATTGCAGCTCAACTATGAAAAACTTGCAAGCACATTCCGTATGCCCAGATTTTCAAAATTATTGGAAAATTTGTCATATCAAAAACAAAGATCTGTAATAACATCTGCTTGGTCAATTGAAGAGTTTTTTAAATATAGATACAAATGCTCTTTGTAACAGATTTTAATTTTTCCTGTGGCTCCTAGGATAGTGACAGAACTGCAATCGCTGAAATCTTTTTTCTTAAAAGACACGCCATTAATTCCAATGAGATTTTCAATAAGACAATGTTAAGTAATAATAATACTGAATTTTCAGAATTGGTCATCACAGAGCAAGGGCATTTTATAACAACATAAAAAACCTTCAAGTGTGCTATTTTAGAATTTATAAAACATTATTTTATATCAACATAAAAAATAAACGAGAAGAATCTAGAAAAACTAAGATCGACACTGTTATACTCAAAGACTTAACATTTCAGTTCCAAAAAAAATATTATCTTGAAGACTGTGAGTGCTCAGTTTAATAAAGCCAGAAAGATAGTAACTTCTATCACAAACGCAAGTATCTTGCCTAAATCCAAGAGTGACTCTAAGTGTGTCAGTAAACATGTAGGGGATGTAATTGAGAAGTGGGTCAAGAAGCATACCTGCACCCATCTTGGAATGAGTGAGGGGAGGCATGGAGAAGCACAGGGACTCTTTTTATCACTGTATTCTATCGCTTCCCTATCACTAAATCACTATATAAGCTGGTGAGCAGGTTGAAGAGGAAATGAAGGCAGGAAGTGCACAGCAGGTGAGCACTACTACAAATCATCAAGAAAAGCACCCGCCAAAGAGGCAGGCAGGGGCAGGGGGTGATGGGACAGAACCTGGGGTCACTGGTGCTGGGCAATGTACACTGGTGGGGGGATGGATGTTGGAATACTATATGACTGAAATCCAATTCTGAACAGCTTTGTAAAGATCTACCTCACAGTGATTCAATAAAAATGTTAAAAAAGAAAAGAAATTGGGAAAAAAATCATCAAACGGTCTCAACTTCAAGTCACTAGAACTCATTTATATCTTTATACACTTCTTATTTCAAGCCTTCACAGAGGTTCTTGACTTTATTTCTTTTTTATTGGTTGCTCTCTTTTTGGGAGGTGCAGGACACACACCTGACCATGCTCGGGGCTTACTCCTGGCTCTGAGCTCAGGGATCACTCCTGGCAGGGCTTACAGAATCATGTGATACCAAGGATCAAATTTGTGTCAGCCCTGAGAAAGGCAAGTTCCCTACCTCCTATACTATCACTCTGGTGAAAGGTTCTTGAGTTTAAAAATGCCTTTATTGGGCCAGAGAGAGACAGGAAGTAAATACAGGAGGCAAGACCCTTGTCTTGCATACAGCTGACCCCACTTGGCACTACAAATGGTTCCTGGAGCACCACCAGAAGTCATCCTGATAACAGAGCCAGGAAGAATCCCTGAGCACCACCAGGTATGACACAAAAACGATAAAGAAAAAAAAGGGGGGGGGGGAGGAAGGAGGAGAGGAGGGAAAGGAAAGAGGGAACAGGAGGGAAGGGAAAGTGGGAACAGGAGAAAAGGCGGATGGGGCAGTAGAAAGGAGGGAGGGGAAGTGAGAAGAGGGAGTGATATTAATCCATTATCTTGAAGATACATACAAAGGCTTACTCTTCATGCTAATATTAAGCACAGTATTGGTTAAAATAACAATGATTTGAAAATAACCTAGAAGGCCAACAATAGGATGCTAGTAAAATGCATATGGTACATCCATACAATGTGCTCACAATATTTAATGACATTTTATAATTTAATGTTTCATTTAAAAGTATGAAAAAGGGCTGGAGTGATAATACAGCAAAAAGGGCTCTTGCCTTTCACATGGCCAACTGGTACTCAATCCCCAGCACCACATATGATCCCCTAAGCACTGCCAGGAGTGATCCCTAAGCACAGAGCTAAGACCAGGTGTGGTAAAAACAACAAGAAAAAAGCATGAAAAGTTCTCATATAAAATTTGTCATTAAGTTTTTTATTATTATTTACAAATAGGATTTTTGGCCAAAACAATTACTCTATATCTACCTCAAAAAGAAATGTACTCAAATACCAATAGTTATTACCCCTGGTTGACAGTACAAGTCATTTTGGTTTTTACTTTTATAACCAAGTGATGAGAGCACACAAACATCATTTTTTAAAGATACAAGAAAGAGGCCAAGTAAGTAGTTTCCAAAACTAAAAAAAAATATGCAATTTCCTTAATTAGCTGAAAGGCATGTTGAAAAAGAAAACAGACTCTAAGAAAGCTGCAATTTCTAGAACCAAAAAACACTTAGAACTTGACTGTGCTTTTGCAAATAATAACATAAGGTATTCTCCACGTCAAATGCTGGTCCCAGTGTCAGGCTGTCATACCTCCTGCTGGAATTACTGCAGCAGCTTCATAACGCTCTCCCTACCTTTACCCTTCAGCAAGGACAAGAAAATTAATGGAAAAGCAGGAAAGAAGGTAATTCTCTCACGTAGACCAGAAATGGCAATGGTAAACAATCACTATTTTTTTTCTAGTGCCAAAGAAACGTTCATTAAAAACCACCCAATTAAGAGGGAGTTTCTTCATCAAGGACAATTACATCACAACTCTCACAACAAACAGAGTGAGAGAATCTATCAGAGTGAAACAATTCTGATGAAAACAATCTGGTCAAACGTAATCAGTTGCATGCTTTGTCACCCTAATATGAATGATTTTCATATTGTTGAAAGTGCATGTGCAGCATTTGTCAAAACAATATCAACAGTACTGAAAATGTCTATACAGAAATCAAAGCTTTCTCTGAGTTGGTTAGCGGAGTTAATGGCAAGGGAAGAAAATATTTGAAGCACAAACCCAGAGAAGGAAACATATGTTTTCAGACAATCTGTGAAAAGAGTTTGGGGGAGGGGGGGAAGAAAGAAAGAAATTGAAGAGGCAGAACTATCTAAACACTAGACCTGAAGAAATGGATGGATTCTGGATCATTTTTCTGTGATTTTGAAAAAGAACAGTATGAAAAAAAAACAGTTTGAAAAGAAAATTTAGTGAGATCAGGCAATATCCATAGAGTCAAAGGAAATCTTCAAAAAAAAAAAAAGACAAACAGACTGAGCTTGTTAAGGAAAAAGTAAGAATGAAAGCTCGAGATTCCCGCCTGAAGCCCAGTGGGGAAAGCGCCCATCCATCTCCGAGGGATCAACCACCAGTCCCTCGGCTCCTCCCCTCCAGGTGGGTTGGGGGCATCCAGCCGGGAAGTGCTCCTGCCCCCCCAGCCGCGCCTCAGATTCCCACCTGAAGCCCAGTGGGGAGACTGTAGACCACCCATCCTCCATTCCAGGATCCTGGGTGGATGTCGTCTGGGACAGGCTCGGGGAGTGGCCACTAGGAAAGGGGCGTGGCCTCTTAAAAGTGGGCGTGGCCTTCTCCTTGGCGGGCGGCCACTAACAGCCGCAGTTATATCACTCACATCAAGCACTCAGGACTCCCATCCCACAACTTGCTGCCTAATACCAACCAAACATTTCCCACTTCTTCTACTGCAATCCAACAACAACCCACTCGCCTACTCAAGTTCCAACAAAGACCTGTTTGAAAACAGCTGTATAAGTTCATTTCCAAATAGCACCTCCTCCAAAAGTTTCACTCAATGTCTGTTATAAAACAAAGAATAACGCCTGACTGAGAAGAACGTCAAACTCAGAAACGTAGAAGGGTGCCTACCATGGACAAAAACTTATCCATAATCCCTTCCCACTATAAGAGGGAATAGTATAATCTGTGCTGGACGAACCGAGGCCCATTGTTTGGCAACAAAACTGAACGGCTCCTAGCAGTCTCTCCTCATTCAACCAGGTACAGCCTGCCCCACGGCTTGAGACTCCCCCAGGGAATGCGCAGCTAGCTTGATCCCCTAGAATTGCCGGTTTTCTCCCTTGACCTGCGCAGGACGGGAACTGAGGCAACATCAGATCCCGCGGCAACAAAGCTGAAGGGATCCAGGAACTCTCTCCTCAATCAACCAGAATAGTAACAGTGAAGGTGAAGGACTAAAGCACACTGGTCACAATGGTAAAGCAACGCAAAAGCCCACCAAACTTTCTTATTGAAGAGGCAAGCCCAGAAGACACCAAAGGTACTGTAGTATTAGACAACCTCTCTGACAAGGAATTCAGAAGGGAGCTAGTTAGGATGCTTAGGGAACTAAAAGAAACAATGCCAATAAAAGACAAGAGGATTTGAAGGCAGAAATGAGAAAAATGCAATCGGAAATGTCGGACCTGAAAACCCTGGTAGGCGAATTGAAAACCTCAGTGGAAGGCCTCAGAAGCAGAGTAACAGCTGCTGAGAACAGAATCAGTGAGCTTGAAGACGAAGTTCAGAGACTCGCCAGAAAAGAGCAGAAAATGGAAAAGAGACTCACAGTTCGGGAACAGATGGCAAGAGAAGATCGTGATGAAGCCAAGAGGGGTAACATAAGAATTATTGGAGTCCCAGAGGGACAGGAAGAAAA